ATATTATATATATATATATAATAAGCTGAACAAATAGCTAAAAAAATTTTTGAAAATAAGAACAAAGTCCGGGGATTTACCTTATCAGTTATCAAAATATACTACAGGCATACCTCAAAGCTATTGTGGGTTCAGTTCCAGACCATTGCAATAAAGTGAATATCACAATAAAGTGAGTCACGTGAATTTTTTTGGTTTCCCAGTGCATATAAAAGTTATGTTTACACTATACTGTAGTCTATTAAGTGTGCCATAACATTATGTCTAAAAAAACCAATGTACATACTTAATTAAAAAATACTTTCTTGCTAAAAAAATGCTAACAATCATCTGAGCCTTCAGTGAGTCATAATCTTTTTGCTGGTGGAGGGTCTTGCCTCGATATTGATGGTTGCTGACTGATCAGGGTAGTGGTTGCTGAAGGCTGGGGTGGCTGCGGCAATTTTTTAAAATAAGACAACAGTGAATTTACCATACCAATTGTCTCTTCCCTTCATGAAAGATTTCTCTGTAGCCTGAGATGCTGTTTGATTGCATTTTACCCACAGTAGAACTTCTTTCAAAATTGTAGTCAGTTCTCTCAAAAACCTGCTGCTACATTACCAACTAAGTTTATGTGATATTCTAAATCTTTTTGTTGTCATTTCAACAATGTTCACAGCTTCCTCACCAGGAGTAGTTTCCATCTCAAGAAACAATTTTCTTTGCTCATCCATAACAAACAACTCCTCAACCATTAAAATTTTATCATGAGATTGCAACAGTTTAGTCACACCTACAGGCTCCACTTCTAATTCTATTTCTCTTGCTATTTTCACCACATCTGCAGTTACTTCCTCCATGAAAGTCTTGAACCCTCAAAGTTATCCATACGGGTTGGAATCAACTTCTTCCAAACTCCTGTTAATGTTGATATTTTTACCTCCTCCCATGAACCACAAATGTTCTTAATGGCATCTAGAATGGTGAATCTTTGCCAGAAGGTTTTCAATTTATTTTGCCCAGATCCATCAGAGGAATCACTATCTGTGGCAGCTATTGCCTTATGAAATGTATTTCTTAAATAATAAGACTTGAAAGTTTAAATTACTCCTTGATCCATGAATTGCAAAATGGATATTGTGTTAGCCAGCATGAAAACAACATTAATCT